ATAATAATAATAATAATAATAATAATAATAATAATAATAATAATAATAATAATAAAAAATTATTGGCCATCTAGTGGACTCAGTTTGCTTCCAAGGTCTTTGAAATATCCAGGGCAAAACTATAGATATTCTAGAATCTCATTGTTTAAAGAGCAAACTTCTGCATTCACACCTAAGGTCAAAAGAAAATTTGTTATCTTTGCTCTTCCTTTTCTTTGGAACATGTTGTTTTTCAAAGAAATCTCTGCCAAAATCCTGAATTTATTAACTGTCTTGCAGGTGAAGAAAATAAAGGAATTGGAAATTCAGTATGCTATGGTCCCTTATTTTATTACTCCATTCCCTAGAACATGATTGATGGGGAATCTGAACATGAATTTCCTGGCATCAGTTTTACTTTGACTTAAAAATTATTAACAGAGAACTTGAAACTCTAGGTATTTCTTACCTTCCTGACTCAGAGTCAAGAGGATCTTCATTAATTGAATCTGCATTGAAGTCCAGAGGTTCTGCATCCTGCAGAAGTTCTACTCTGTCCCTTTCATTCCTTCCATTTGACCTAGTGTACTTGGAAGTTACTGCAGCAAGAAAATTTTACAATATAGTCAAGGTGCATGTTGAACTACAGCAAATAGCTGAAATGGAAAGAATTTGATCTGGAATATATAGATGGTCTAATATTTTCAAGGATATTCATTACTAAGAAGATTAATATATAATACACATATTTTTAAACACAGAAAAGGAAGAGTCAGAACAAGCAAATTCAAACACCATTTCTAAAGTTACATAATTGTTTTTATACACAATGAAAAAGAATAGAGACAGATTGGCTATATACTCCTGTATCCATCCAACTGGATCAAATATGCCCATGTGACATGAGCTGCACTGGCTTCCAGATGCAATTCAAGGTCCTGGTTGTCACCTTTAAAGTCCTACATGGCATGGGACCAGGATAGTTGCAGGATCGCCTCTCCCCAATGGTTTCTGCTGCCACACCAGATCTGGTACAGTGGCTATGCTCTGAGTACCACTGATAAATCAATGTCATCTAGCGGGTTCCTGGAAGTATATCTTCTGTTATGGTGCCCACCTGTAGAACAGGGCCTCCCCCTTAAATACAGACAGCCTCTTCTTTATTGGCCTTTTGCAAGGCCGTAAAGACCTGGCTCTTCCCCTGGGTACTGGGGGCAGGATGTTAGTTTGGGACATCTGGCATGGGTGTATGTGTCCAGTGGTTTGTGTTTTATTAAGCCTCAATGCAGTTTTAGTGGGGTTTTGTTTAATGTAATTCTCTGTTTTTGTTTGTTCACTCCCCAGAGTTTCTGGATAGATGGACAACAATATCAACTGGATTAGTAAATAAATAGGGTCCCTACTGCTGGGGCTCTGGAGGCAGGCATTCTCAGTGTCCACTCCCACACTTTGGAACTCCCTCCTAGGGGAAATTCAATCAGTCTCATCTTCCTAGGCTTCAGGACAACTTTGTTCCATTGTGCAGAGCATTCTTTGACTGAAAGATGGGGTTATTTGTATCTGATTTTATTTTTTTGCTTACATGTAAA